CCCCCTTCCCCTCCCATAACCTCACCCCTTCCCACCCCTTCTACATACGTGAACTTACTTTATAACAACACAGCTAACTTTCATGGCGCCTCTCTAATGCCCCCTCAGCATTGAATTCGTATTATTGCATCCCAAGGCTTATCTTAAGCCTGACATCAAAGCATGAACGAAATTATATTTTAACTTCGCATTAAACACTTACAGCTTCAAGTAGCTGTTGCCTGATGATGCACATTCCCACCAATGGGTTTCCATAGGGAAAGGGGAAGGGGGCGTTGGTAATAGACGAGCGAAGTGGTTGAATATCTATTGGTTGATGTTCATCATGATTCGTGCTTGTTGTTGCTTGGGAATGAGGCAATATTCCCATCCCCGGAAAATGAAAATATTTTTAACAAGAGGGCAGACAGAACACCAGTTTGACGTATTCGGTGGAACAACTCGAATGTTGTTCCTCTCCTTCGAAGACAAATAAGCCTTAACATTCATCGTTCGTCTACCCAAAAAACCTTAAGAGCTAAATCATTTGAAAGACTGTTTACAAGAAATAGACCATTAGGGCGACTTGACTAACAAAAACTATCCTATCGAGACAATATCTGACTGTTTTGGCTGCTCGTCATCAAATTTGATGTTTTTTTTCTCCTGGAATATATAGACTCGGGGTGGTTATTCTTATTTAGACCAAATTTATATAAATCTGATCCCTCGGGGGATCGATTTCTTGATCTGCATGGGCCCAGCCCGGAGTGCACACCACTATTAAATTATATGCTTCAAACTTACTACTCCTCCAACTTTCTAAAGTTTGAAGTTCCAACCGCAGCTTTGTTCATAATACTATCCCTCTAATCCTTTTTGAAGCAAAACTTGATTATAAAATCAAGAATATTGTCACTGCAACCAATTTTTTCCATGGAAACTAAAACCATTACATTTCGTTATAAACAATTACAAGACTGCTCGTATCAGAGCGAAGCCCTGATTGTTCCGATTACCCTTTTAAGGTGTATGTAGCAGTCTTGCTTTAAAGCAATGATGATTTTTTCAATCAGAAATTTAAAAAATTAAATTGTTGCCCACTCGCCATAATAAATACAAAAAGATAGATTTCACTCCTAGTAACGTAACATATTTTTCCGAAGGATTTGATCTCCGTTTATGCGCTTAAAGAGCAAAAAGTATCGCGCGTTTATTGTCCATAGTTGGCCTTATTGGCAGTGTTTCAACACTCATAGCTTTACAAAAAATGATCACAGGTAGAAAATCTTTTTTAGTTTGAGTTCACGGCAACAATACTGCTTTTCGAATGATACTTTTAAAATTCCGTCAAAATTACTAGTTAAAAAAAGGAAATTAGTCTGCCGAAAAAAAACTCCAAGCACAAATATTCCGTCATGTTGCTCAAAAATCGGAGTAATAATTTAATTTTTTTCAACAAAAGTTCGATGAAAAAATTTTTTTAGCTTATTTTGCTGTTTGATATTTCTGCAGAAGCCAAAAACTTTCAACCTTGTTTTTTGTAAAACTACAAAATAAATTCGGATTCTTCTCCATTATAATTAAGCACTTCCTGCGTTTGTTTAGAAACTATCAAAAATTTCAAAGTATTGGATAAAGTTCTGAACAATAGATAAAACAAAAGAAAGCAGAGAGTTTCTCATAAAATGAATAGTAAATCTCAATATAGCGAATGCAACATTCGTATTTGAAACATTTTTGAACTGTGTTAGTCTGACTCACAAAAAATTTACCTCAATAATCAAAGATAATCTTTTATAAACCATTATAATCGATTATAACAGACTTCATCAATTTAACTTTTGAAAATATACTATTGACTAGTTAGATGTTTTAGTGAATTATTTTAGAAGTTTTTAGAGACTGACAATGAGAATCCAGTTTAATTGATTGTTATCCATAAAACTCTGGTGCAGGAACTACAAAAAGACATACATTGAGCTTAGTAACGCGTTTGAGTAACGTAGGTCCAGTTTGCCTCAAAAAAATTGGCTGTGATTTCGGAGGCGCACATCATTAATCAAAATTCTAACTTTAAACAAGCTACAAGTTTACGAAAGTTAATTGTTAGAATTTTTATTTAATTCGGAAAGCTATTTTTTAATAGTGTAACTTATCATAAGTAGATTGAAAAGGCTAATATCAGAACAAAACGAGCATTTAAATTTTAAATTTCGAAAATCCAGAAAAATTTAGCTAGAAATTAAAACTAAAAACGAAAAACTAAGTGCTTTTTTTGTACTTAAGAAAATTAGCAAGTACTTGATTTTTCAATCTTAGCTGCATTTCAAAATGTTTTCGGAAACATTGAATCTCAAAATCTGTAGAATCTTTTCGGAACCATTTCATGTGTGATCTTTTTCATTTGTGATTCATTGAGAAGAAAATTTCTCTAGCTGCATGTTTACCGATAACTTTAAGAAACGTTTTCCCAGGTGGCATTAGTTTCGTTTTGCCACGCTATCTACAACCGATTACTTCTCCTTTTCACCAGGAACAAATTGATTTGAACAGAGTTTGGAGTATTGCTTCCAAAAACAACTTTCAGTGAACAATTTCGGATACTGTTGTTGTGTTGTTTTATACCTGTAGTAGTACAGACAAGAGCGAACACAATTTGTGCGATTGAATGAATTTCAACTTAGCCAATTGTAAGTTTTCATCACTTTGATTGTTGAGCAAACGAAAGTGCTGCCAAAATGTGGAGAGGGCTGGACAGACAGTTTTTATTTTGAGCAGCTTTGTTTTTTCTCATTTTCATTATTGATTTTTAATAAAGAACTATTTGATCAGAAGATTCAATTGAGTTTGCAAAGTGACGCTCCAAAAAGTCTGTCAAAAATGATTGCTTCTGGACCAGATTGGATTCTATTCGGTACTTTGTTCAAATTTAGCAATCCAATAGAATGCAGAAGAATACTATGATCATGCTTTGTTCCTTACCATTTTTGGGAGAACATCTGGCTAAGAAAACTGGATTGAAGTTGAAACTTCGCAGACTAAAGCAAGTTCATAGTTTAATAATATGCAAAAGACGCATCTGTTACCTGGCGAGACTTGACTAATTTAGGGCTGGCTATTAGGCTGGAAAAGAAGTTAAAAGAAATGGAAGATTGGAAATGGGAGGGAGAGAGAGAGAGAGAGAGAGAGAGAGAGAGAGAGAGAGAGAAAGAGATATTAGGCGAATGATTGTGGACTCTGTGATGGGTGCTGGTTGTGTGGAAGTGCATCTCTTCTGCTCTTCTGCTCTTTCATTCTTCCTCTCCTCTTCTAGACCTCAATAATATTTAGCCCATCATAGTCCCTTTTGTTAGTTATACTCTACTTTTGCATTCTTCTTCATCTTCTTCTGCTTCTGCTTCTTCTCCCTAATTATTCTATCCCACCCCTTTTCTCTGTAGTGGTTATGGTTGCCAATCTGTTGTTGATAGTCTCAAGTATCACTCTAATTCCAACATAATCTTACACCAAATACCAAATCCACCCCCCCCCCCCCGTCTCCTCCTCCTTCTCCTTCAGCTATACCACAAATACCAAATACCCCCGACACTATACTCAAGTTAAAGCACCGACAAGGACCAACAATAGTCCAGCTAGTATTCTATTAACACAACACCACATCAATAAAGCCCCGAAGCCGTATTGTTCTGTTTAAGAACCAGCATCGCTATCCGAAATAACTGCCAAAGGCAACAACCTTCTTCATTCATTCAAAGTACACTTAACGGCAACTGGCAACTTCAACGGCTGTGTTGAACTAACTGTTAGTAAATAAATATATAATTACTCTAAGCCAGCTCCGAATAGTGCAAATTGGCCGGCCATTATAGAAACAAACCATCCATCAAAACAGGCGCAGAATGAACTGAAAGCGAATTGAACATGATGAGCTGAGGAGCCAGATAACACTGAGAAAAATAATAATAACACTGTGCAAATGCCTGCTCTGAATTATGTTCTCATTATACCAGATTTGCATAGCATACCACCGTCTTATCACTTGGCTACTTTTTCCAATAGAGTCCATAGTTAGTTGTTATCAATCTAACAACAGCCAAGATGGTATTGTTGCTCTAATCGACCCGATGGCCATAAAAGCCAGCCTCAATTTGTTTTTCTTCTTCAATTGAATAGCCAGCATATATTGCTAATGTCCAAGTAGACAAAAACATCCTCGCTTGTGTTTCCAAACAACCAGCCACTTCCTGGCTCAATCTAGACTGTCAGTGGAGCGAACAGAACAGGACTATAAAACCAATATTCACTCGAGTCACAAGTTGTGATCAAATTAGACCAGCACATCTCAACTCATCAGACCACGACGCCCGGCCCCTTTCCTCTCTAGAACAACCACCCAACCCCCCAACCCCCTCCCCTTTCCCCAAATGCCCAAATGCCCAAATGCCCAAATGCCCCGCTCGCTCCATGCCACTGCTACGTCTGTTGCTCTCCCAACAACTGTCTTTGATGTTTGTTTTGACTGGCTGAAAAATAACTAACTATTTATCATTTATTACTTACCTTAACTACTGCAGATTACACTGGCATTGTAAAGTTATCTTATCTCATCTTAACTGTTGCAATCTACTATACTCTTGTAAAAATGAGGACGGTGGCCACTCCTCGAAGTACTCGGAGGGGTTCCGGTGCCTCTTCCCAGGACCCATCCTCCGGATCCTCTTTTTCCAGTCTGGCCGGTCAGGTTCCCCCCTCCCACCACAAAAGAAGTCTGCAATTGCCCCCCTATGATTATCAGCAGACCGAGTGTAGTGGTCCCCCTTTAGACCCTTCGGTCACAGCGTCCACCGAGGAGCACATTTTGCCGCCTTATAAAATCAGCGTGAACAGCGATGCTAGGCTTTATATGGACCTAAACTCAGCTGCAGCTGCAGCAGCAGCCCCCACCCCCCCTGCGACCAGAATTCCTCCCCCCAAACTAAAGCCTCCTCTGTCGCCGCTTAAGTTCAACTGGCGTTTAGGGTCCCCCCGAACAGTAGAGAGACGGAAGGAGAAGATACGACAGATGATGGAGAACGACTTTGAAGAGAACCTGTTCCACGTGAAGAATCTGACCGCCAAGAAGTGTGTCAAGTTCTTCGGCACCCCCCACATACCCCTGGATAAATTGCCGCCCCTGGATCCCACCTCGCTTCCCCTGACCAATGCTGCTGCCGAAAGTGCAGCTGTTCGTGCTCCTATACACAAAACGAGTAATGGCAGCACAGCCCCAAGTGCAGACGATAAAAACAACAACAACAGTAAGGGTCGCCGCCCCTCGCCCGCTGGAGTTGAGAGCAGGGGGTTGTGTCTGGGCTGTAACTACCCGATAGAGGCGCACCAGGAGGCAGCAGACCAAGTGAGCATCCGACCATGGACCAGAGACACTCTGCGATGGAGGGGTGAGTCGAGTACAACATACTTACTACACTCAATACACTTACTGCAGTAGAATACAGTCTTTCAGTGAATCAATCAGCAACTAACTACAATGTATAAGCTTGAAATTGCCTAGTCTTTCAATCATTTTCCACAAAAAAAACATTTTAGTTTTTTTGTTGGTAAATGATCAAACTCTAATATCATACCGAACGATAAATTGTTCTGACTTTTCTGAACAAGTTGGGCTCTCCTTCTACAAAGCAGTACCCGCACTGAAGTTTCACGAATTATAATCAATTATATTGGATTTTCAGTGTCAGTCTCTATGAAATAGCAAAAAAAAATCGCTTATAAACGATTGAAAATGGATTATAATCATAACAAAAAAAAATTCAATATAATCGATTAAAATCGATTATTTTCAACTCATTTTCAAATAATTTTATCAAAAGAAAAATACTCCATTATAATCCATTTATTTAAACCTTTTTGAGTGTTTTTTTTTTTTCATTTTTTCATAATATTGTTAAACTAAAGTTAGTTATTTTGTTCTCTCGCTAAGTTTCATTTTTTTCCTATTTTCAACCGCGTTCTTGAAATTTACAAATTAGGTTGGGGGATTTACGTGGGAACTGGTCAAAAATGCCATCAAAACGGATTAGGTTGGGGGATTTACGTGGGAACTGGTCAAAAATGCCGTTTTTGGGCGCTTTTTGGAAAATTACCACATATTGGCCTCTTCAAAATTACTTCATATTGGCGGCCCCTGGATGAACGTGTTCGTTCGAGTTTTGCAGAAAGCTGCAAAAAGTAGAGTCATTATTTACAAAATTTAATCAATTTTCATGGATTTTGTGTACAAAAAATAATCCACCACATTGAAAATAAAAATGGATTATAATCGATTATAATGGATTATGATGGGGTTTTTTTCGATAAAAATCGATTAAAATGGATTAAATATCCATAGCGTTTTCTAAATTTGTCATGATAATCGATCATATAGACAACTTTTTAGTCAACAGAAATCCATTATAATCGATTTTTATCCATGAAACTTCGGTGCGGGTAGCGTGCCGAACGGGTGGGTAGGGAAGCGACCGCCCTTCTCCCCTTCATTCTCTCCTTCAATTAAAGACATCCATTTTTGGCTGAGCAATATAAAAATGTTCTAGAGGCGCCTTCGGCGCCAATATAACTAATTTTGAGGGGGAACGCCCGCCAAAAAACGCAATATTTTGGTGAAATTTTTCAAAAAAAATGCCTAATAACGCCTTTTTTGGCCAGAGAAAAATCTCTGCGCGCGCCACTGCTACAAGGAAACCTAAAAAACGGTGTTTTATTCTCGCTCTAAGACGCCTGAAAACAGGCTAAATTTATTCCTATGGCGCTCTCCCAAGTGATGTTTATGTAGAAGAATTCCTGGGAAGCTTTTTGTTCCGACTTTGGATACGAAGGTAACGGAATATTTGTGCTCGGTTGGGTTTTTTTTCTTCAGACAAATTTCGACTTTTTAACTAGCCATTTTTGACGGAATTGATTTGTTAATAGTTTGTACTTAATATGGCGTGGGGGGATGTTTTCACAAAAAAAATTTCAAATTAAAAAAAAGTTTTTAATTTTATTTTATTACTCTTAAGTTTTTCATGTATGCTGCTCCGTAGACCTTAAAAGGCAGTCAGAACATTCAGGGCTTCGCCCTGATTCGAGCAGTCTTGTTTCTAATGTGGTAGGTGGAATTATCTTAGTTGGAAACAATTTATTGTGATTATCATGATTACAAAATGAAAAGTAACAGTAAATTGATTACAATAAATAGTCACAATTGAAAGAAAATGAAAACAGAATGGTTAATTTTTTTGTCAAATTTTGAATCAAAACTAGGATAATCTGGAAGGAGTGCATTTTTAGAAAGTTTTAAAAGCTTTTCTCGTCCTAATTAGATCGGCCAAACTGATTTTCCCAGCTGTCCGGAAGTTTTTGCGGCCATCTTAAGCCGACACAGGTGAAAAATACAATTGCACACAAGTTTTTCTTTTGTTATTTTTTAGTATGAAACATTTAGTTGCGATTTAGTTTGCTCAGTGGCTGGTGAGAATTTAGCACGCTTTGGGGAGAGAGTGTTAAGTTGGTGTGAAAAGTGGCATTGTGAAGGTGTGTGTGTGTGTGTTTTGTGCAGAGAACTTCTGCATCTACAACGTGGAGAAGTGCATGCTGGGAAGACTGCGGTTCCTGAACGAGGTGGAGAATATAGACAAGCTGGCCAACTTCGCAGTGATGGCCAACAACACCAGTCCAGGCACAGTTGTGAGGGAGGTGCTGATGAAGAGGTTCCAGCTGGACAGACACATTCCCAATCTGGTCATCTCTTTCGCTGGCAGCCACCATAGGGTCCAGATCACAGAAGACAGACAGGTCCAGAGGTGAGCACACCCTAGCAGACCCCCCCCCCTCCTCTCTCTCTCTCTCTCTCTCTCTCTCCTCATTTCAAACCCATTCAAACCGCCCAATGCCAAACTGCTGCCACTAATCATCACTTTGAGCCTCTTTATTCGCCAGAAAAATAAAACAGCTTTCAGCTTAAACAAATTTTGTCCAACTGAAAAAACCAGTTTTAGGGAAACCATTGTAACATATCACCTAAAATATTCATTTTCAAACTTATTTTCTCTGTCTACAATCTTCGATCGAAAAAGGTGTTCTGCCTTTATTTTAGAAGGTTTTGCTTTTACGTTTGAAACTTTTATCTTTACTTTAGAAAATCTGGCTTTTATTTTAGATAGTAAACGTTTCTTCAATTCAGAAATAAAATGACTTCTCTACAAACTTCCCTTCCCCAGGAAATTGAACACATTTTTGGCACTTAGAAGTTCCAGCTGGACAGAGGTATAGGGTAGGCATCCGCTAAGTCAAACACCCGAACTTATATAAAAACAAGGAACGCCGGTTACCGTGCAAGTAGCACAAAATGTTTCGACTATAGTCATAAAAATTACATAAAAAAGTTTTTCTAAATTAGAGTCGGTTTTCTGTGTGGTATGAAAAAAAATCTGAAAAAAAAACCTTACGCATATTCGACATTCATAGTAAAATAGGCCAATTGGAAAACAGTTGTATTAGAAAAAAGCAAACAAAAAATCAAAATCTAACTTTACTCGAGTAAAACTAAGTTTTCACGGCTTAAATTAAGCTTAAAATAAGCTTTTGTAGGCCTGCTTTGCCCCACTTTATTAGTTTGGAATTGACCTATCAAAAAACTCAAAACTAATTTGAATGACCTTAACAAAAAAATCGTAACTTTTTTATTGAAGTTTCTTTCAAAAATTCCGCTCCTCCTCAAAAAAAGGAAATCAATTATTTTTATTGTTTCAATTAATGTCTGTTTTTCAAAAAAACTTTTATGCGATTTTCAACTCTGATTTGTTGGATGCGTAAAAAAGCTTAGAAAGTCAGGCTATTAGTGCTAAAACAACTGCAGTATCTGATGTGAACTTTTTGGGGACGAATAAAAAGTTAAATTTTTGGAGATGATTTAGTTACTAAGAGATGAGCATGAGCAATTGATAGCGCGCCGAGACAATTGTTTAAAAATGGACTGTTTCTACTTCTCAAAATTCGTGTAAATAGTTTTTAGCGTCTTCTAATTTGCGGAGTTTTCTACTTAGCAGAAATGAAATAAAATGTTTTCTTAAGAGTCCCATCAAAACACACTGTCGAGTTAACAGCACATATCTTATTTGCCAAACATCAGCTAGCCCGTACCCAAGAGATTTTCTGTGCAAGATCTGAAATTCTTTATTTCTTACATAAGTTGATTCTCAGATCTAAAATTCTTTATTTCAGATCTTGATAAGACTTTACAAATTTCAGATCTTAAATTTGGATCTGAAATAGAGAATTTCAGATCTGAAATAACCTCGAAAAACTAAACTTCAGATCTGAAATCAGATCTGAGATATGCCTTGTTAAATTATATTATATGCATTTCGAGCAAAAAGTTGAGTTTTTGTTTTTTGATGTTTCTGCAATACACAATTATGTTTAGATAAACAAGCGGTAAAAAAAATTTCGAAAAGAATCACAAACCATTTTTTTCGAATCAATTTTATAGTTCAACTGGGTTAAAAAGTTTCAAAAACTGTTAGAATACCTGTCAACTTTTTGACTTTCATGCGCTACTTATGAGTTTCCAATGTTTAACTCATGCTTGGGGAAACATATTTTGCTTAGTATCTGCTAGTAGCTAGCGGAAGCTATCAAACACAAAAAAGTTAAAAAAGCAAAAATTGTGACAGAAATTAGATCTAAAATAGATTTTTTCAGGTGTAAAACAACCAAGAAAAACAAAACTTCAGATCTGCAATTAGATCTGATATGACCAATCCTTAAAGTATCCAAGCGTTATTCAAACATTTTACAACCTGTTTCAGATCTAAAATTTAAATCTGAAAAAGTTTATTTCAGATCTGTTGCACAAAATTTACTGGGTACGGGTGCCTTAGAGTCAAGATTCATTCTGTAAAACTATACGCAATAAACTAACCGAGTTAAAAAACTTCTTAAATTTAGGAGCGTACATTTCTGAAATGCGTACATTTTTTTTGGTTTTTCATTTCTGATACTTAAGAACGTACTGTAGACTATTAAAAAGACATCATTATTAAGTTTGACTCGATCCACAAAAAATTTACTTCAAATTCATCTTTCAGGCAATTAATTCACCATTCTGTCAAAACGTTCTAACGTGTTTTATACTTCTGAAAGTAATTCGTGTCACAAAATTTTTTTTCAGAATCTTCATTATGCAAAAAAAAATATGTGTAGTAAAGAACAGGTTAAATTGAAGGACAGCGCATTTTTTTTTTACTTTTGCAGTAGACGTTCAAACATCTGTGATCATCACTAAATCAAAAATTCCTGAAAACCAAAAAGTGATCGAAATTCGATATAACAGTGTAGTGCAAACTTTTATGGTTTACAGTCTGCGGTTTCATTGAAAGTTATTGAAAAAACTATTAATAAAAACATCTAAAACACGACAGATATATTTGTTCACGGTTTTGCTGAAAATGCATTTTTTAGTAGAAAAATAATGTTTTCGTTTTAAGCCAAAGTCGACGCTATAACTCTATGACTTTTGCGCTTTCAGTCTTAAAATTGGAAGCACAACTTGCCAGAGTACAAGGAAATTTCTCTCACACTTGCCTAGAGGTAGGCCTAACGGTACCCACCTTTTTAACTCTAAACAACTTAAAACCATACAGTTCCACTCCTTAATTTTTGTTGCCAATCCACGCTAGCAGCCAATTTAAACCACTAGCAAATTTAAACCACTACATTTTAAAACTATTTCTATGACTTTGCAAATAGTTCGGATTGCTACACCATACAATTTCACTCCCTACTTTTTCTTGCATTAGCAAAAATAAAACCACTACATTTTAAAACTATTTCAATGACTTTGACAATAGTTCGGATTGCTAGAATGATTCGAACCAAAATATGAGCAATCTTTCAACAAACTTCAGTGGCGCGAAATTATTTAAACATTCTTTGACTAATAGTGTAACTTTCGAGACATTTTGGGCCGGTACACAAAATAAAAAGATTTAACTAATTCGGAAAACTAAAAACCAATCAGTTTTAACAAACTTTTAACACGGTTGCCTTGTTCAATTTTTCTGATAACGCAGAATTGACAATAACGCAAAGCTAAAAGATTTGCCAGGCCCTAGTCCCAATCTAGCTTCCCCAAAAGCGACGACTGTCTTGGGATTGAGTTGCTAAAACACTAGTCAAGTTCTTGCCTTTAGTTATGTTTTCTGGGATTTTTAAAGAGTTTCAAAGAGTTTCAAAAAAAGATGCACAAAAGTTTTAAGATGGAGTAAAACTTGAACTTCGTTGATACGAATGAATAAGCAAAAACAGACAAACTGGCTTAACTAACACAAACTAGATAACGCTCTGAGAAAAAAAACAAATCATTTTTGTCTCCTTAAAGGGAAAATAACTTTGTACTCTTTCATTTAAAAGATCGTAGTTTTTCTTTTTTGTAAACATATGGTACACGGTGAAATTTAAAACAAAACCTGATTGGAGGCGTCTTTTGCAGAATGCCCACTACTTAACACATAATGGGGTGGGCTCCATTTAAATAGGTTTGAATGCCAGAGTGCCTTCCTTCGACAGCGTTTGTTGCTTTTGCAATCCCACTCACGGCCGCATCTCGCCGGTTCCAAAGGAACGGTGGGAATAAAACCTCCGCACCATGCTTTTTTTCAAATTAGAACCAAACTCAACTCGTCATTTTTTTCAAATTTTTCGGTTTCTTAACGTTTTCTATCACAATTTCAAAACTTTCATCGGCTAAGCAGAAAGATGATTTTTCCAGACCTCTCAACACTTTGGGGTCACCGCAAAAAATGGTTCGTTCGCAATCAGTTGATCCACCGTCATACAGAAGAAAAATTCTCAAACTTTGAAGGATCTTGAAATTTTGAGCTATAAAGGATAAAATTTGTCAAAATTTCAGGGAGCCCGAAATTTTGAGCTTCAGGGAAGGGTGGCAGATTTGCATCTAGCGAATGGGTTTGTTTTTAGTTGAGAGGGCAAACTGAGTGGCTATGTCGTTTGTTACTGGCATAACAAAACGAGCAAACGCGTTTTTTTGTAAAAGCAGATGCTCGAAGTTTACATATTCAGTTTTTTGAGTAAAACCAGTTTCCGGTAAATCTTTTTTGCTGGAAAAAAATTGAGGCCGGACGCTATAAGAATTGGCTTGTTTTTAGATGAAACTGTGTATTCGAAAGACGACTGAATCATAGAAACTTGTTTGTCCTAGTTTGCGTTTGTTTGTTACTTGAGTACAGCGAAAAATCACTTTCAGTGTTTTATATTTGACGGAAATTTTACGTCCATTAATAAAAGCAGGCTTTTTTAGTAATCATAATGATTTGTTGAAATATTTAATTGAAAAAAAAACTAAAAATTTGTCGATAAGAGTCCTAAGTAAATTGGTAAGCCTCTTTTCAGCATGCTTGAGGAAAACCCCATTTTTCAATGTGACGCGTGTGTTGAATACAGGATTAACTTTGATGTGATATGATTTACAATAAGAATAAGAATGAGAATCTGTTTACGAAGAGACCGGTTGATCTTCGAAAAGTTTGTTGAAATGTTACTTTCAGGAGCGGATATTGGACCTCCTAAAGTGGCGGAGGTACTACAAGCCTTCCAAGAAATCAACACGGGCAAGGCTCCCGGTGACAGTCAGATCACCAGTGACCTTCTTAAGTTGCTCGAGAAGAAAATTCTCAAGCGTCTCACAAAGATTTGCACTAATATCTGGATTGATCCGGGAAAAACTCCCCAAAATTAGAGAGACGCAGTAGATCTCAACCTGTTCAAGAAAAGAAGCAGAGCA